CCCCCCCCCCCCCCCCCCGATTTCATAGATTTGAAAATGAGATTTGATTTTTTATTGTTTCAATCCCTAAATTTGATTTCTAATTACTTCAATTCATAGATTTGAGAACAAAGAAAATGAAGAGAAGTAATGTGGAGAAGATGGAAAGAAAATCATACTATCACCGTCTCAAAAAGATAGCAACATTACGTTAAACGAAGAAAAATTTTGAGTTTTTTTAAATATATTTTATTTGAAAAATTGTATAGAAATAAAAAAGATATAAAACTTACATGTTTAAAAATTATGTCAAAAATTCTACAAAAAAAGATGTGACAAAAAAATTTTATTTTATTAAATAATTAATAAAAACGTGAAAATAAATTAAAACTCTCGTGATCTTTGAATAGTGAAGTATGTCAAAAAGAAAAGTAAAAAGAGAAAATAAAAGATTAGAAAAAAAGAGTGAAAGAATAGGTAGTTGACTAGATGAAGATGAACAGAGATTGAAAAGGAAAGGTCAGGTCGAAAAAGAAAAGTAAAAAGAGAAAAAATAAAAGAAAAGAAAAAAAGAGTAAAAGGCTTCTTGGTGACATTTTCTTGCCATATGTGTAGAGAATTTAATTTATGTGGGTCCTTTTAATTCATGGAAAAGAAATGAGCGAAAAAACAATTTTTCATGTTTAGTTAGAGAGGAAAAGAAATCAAAAGTGAAGGAAAAAATGGGAAGGCAAAATGTATTAAGAGGATGGAAGGCAAAATTCCTTCCATTTTGGTGACGAAATTGAGAGAAAATTATTTTCTTTTTTTTTTCTTTCAATTTCTTTGAACCAAACTTAGTTAAAAGAAATTACATTGGGATTGGTGTTTCCTCTCTCAATTTTCTTTTTGTCCATTTTCTCTCCATTCAAACGTTGTGCAAAACTTTTGGTCAACCTACCAAAGAGACCATGTTGTGTAGTAAATGCATAATACGCGATGTGAATTGTAAAATTTTTTGGAGTTTTCCTAACACTGCCCACGAGAATTACACTTGCATTTGGCATAGCCATTGCATGCAAAAGTTGTTTTTTCTTTTCATGTTGCCAGCTAGACTCTTGCTTATCGGTAACAAGCAAACACCAGCACACCACCACCATAGAAAAATACCCAAAAATGCAAGTGAAAAGAGAGAGGGGGGAGACAAGACAAAAAAGTGGGGGCACTCTTCTTTTACGTAGGGGTGGGTTCGGTTTTTTGCGGTTCGGTTTTTTACCCAAAACCAAAGACAAAACGGAAGGTAAGTTGGCAGTTCGATTCGATTCGGTTTTGCATAAAAAATATGCAAACCGTTGGTTATTCGGTTCGGTTTTATGCGGTTTTTACTTCGATTTTTTCGGTTTGTAAAAGTAAATATTTATAAGCATTAAAAATTGTATAAATACTAATTCGACGAAGCAATAACAATACGTAAGTTTGGGTTTGGTTTTTTTGCTTGATTTTTACACACACAAAAAGCCGAGCGAAAGGTTAGTGTTCTCATTGGTTCAATTTTATATACAAAATATGTGTCAAGTGCCTAACAAACATCTAGAAGATTCTAAATAATCTTAAAGATATCGTATGTAAAATCAATTGCAGAGAATTTGGATTTTTTTATATAATACTTTCATTTTCATTATAACATCAAAGTTTTTTTTTATTTAAATATGTTAACTACTCATTTTAATTTTTAATATTATATAATTCTATTTTAGGATTAGTTATTGGTGTTTATATTCTTAGATTTTTTAAAGTTTATAATATGGTTAAAATGTTTAATTAATAGTTAAGAAAAAACTTTAATTGACTAGTAATTTATTTACATTTTTGTTTATATGATTTTTATACATATCACATATACTCATATAAATAAAATTAAGCATATAAATAAGTTCGGTTTATTCGGTTCGATTTTTCAAAGTAAAAACCAAAACGGAACCAAACAATAACGGTTCAGTTCGGTTTTTTTACATTCGGTTTCGGTTTTTTTGGTTCGGTTTTTTTTCTAGCTCGTTTCGATCGATTTCGGTTCGGTTTTCGGTTTTCCCAACCCAGCCCTACTTTTACGGTCTTGGTTTACATTTGGTGTCAAAATCTTAGGGTCCTCCTAACACTCTTCTACATATAATGCCTGCGGTAAGTTTCCAATGTTTGCCTATAAAAACGAGCATCAAGATTGTAAAAGAGTCAGTAACATTAAAAATGAGTCTCAATCACACATCAAGATAGATAAACGATGTGACATAGTTAATGGTAAATTTTTTTATGTGAGATTTTCACTATATAGTACAAAAATATACTCCCCCGGTCCTAAATACCTTTCCTATTTTAACTTGTTTAGTTAAACAACGGTACGCTTTGACCATAGATTATGAGAAAAATATATTTAATTATAAAATTCAATATATTTGGGTTCATCTTAGGATATAGTTTTGATATATCAAATTTTAATGTCATTTATTTATTTAGAATATGTTTAATTTATGATCAAAGAGTGTTACAATTTGACTAAAAAGAGTCAAAACAGGAAAGATTTTTTGAACCGGGAGGAGTATGTATTTTCTCAATGTAGTACTTAAATCTTTGAATTCTCCAAATAAAACTTGAACAATGTCCATTCATGGTGAAAATTTACTTGAATAATGTCTAATTAACATCGGTCCAGTTCTCGTGACACCGGAGAACGGTGCCACTCCAGTACCACTGCATTTCTAGGGCACTTCCGGTGCTCCGTTCGTAAAATTGACGGTTCCTACCCTCCTAACCCACCCCCTAAACCCCCCACCCTACCCCACCCCTGCCCCACACAAAATTGCATAATAGCCACACATTTTGTAGGGGGCTTACGGCGGGGTTGGGGTGGGGGTGCAAGGGTGGGGGTAGGGTGGGAGGTTTAGGGGGTGGGTTAGGGGGTAGGAACTGTCAACTTTACGAACAAAGCATCGGAGGTACTACAAAAACACAGTGGCACCGTTTTCCGGTGTCACTAAAACCGGACCGAATTAACATTGAACAATGTTACTACACTTAAAGTTAGGACATATGGCATCGCATTGGAAAAATAATTATGTTTTAATACTATATAGGAAAAAAAATTAATCATTCTTAAAAAAAAGTCATGTTATTAATGTGGAGTACCTTTTTTTATTTTAATACTCCGTATATATTGTATTTAAAAAAAGTTTTTAAACATAGCTTTGCTATTGCAAAATTTTCTTTCGAAACCCTAAGGACTCTAACCCATGATTTAACAGTTCAGTTTTGACGCAAACATTCATGTCTTCATATTATCAATCTTTACTTTCACATTTAGATGTGCAATTTATCCATTCTTCAATATCATTCAGACTAAAAGTGATAGATAAGACGTATAGATTTCATAAATTGACACACAAAAATACCATTGAAATTTGAAAGTGAGAAAGCAAAGAAAGATTGTGATTTCTTAATGAGAATAGGAAAATTTGAGGGCTATACCCACTGCTTGATAACTACTCCCCCTATAATAATACTGATAATGTCACAAAACAAGTAAAAAATATATTATGTTTCCAGTTCTGGAGTGTGAAAAAAGGACAGAATCGTACACATATATATTGTCAGGCTTCAACCTTCTGAGCTTTGTTCGGCCGACCTGAATTGCCATCTCTGTGACGCGGGTGCTTCCCGCCCCTGAATCTGCCTCCTCCCCTGGTTACACATTAAGCAGTCAAATTAAATCGGCGTGGTTCTGTTTACATTGGGCTCCATAGTCATAGGATAACACCGGTTCCTTTGAGACCTCTACGAAGCACCACGGGGGGCAAGAGAGGTAGGAACCACTCGTTTCAGACAAGAACCGAAATATTAAACGAGTGATTAATGGAAATAATAAGAGCAAAGGATACCCTTACCTTCCTCTGTTTCCCTTGTAATCTCCTCGCCGTCTTTGCTGACCATCGCGAAGCTTAATCCAGTATTCCTTTTCGGCATCACCTTATTTTTAAAAAAAGGCTCTCTCAGAAAAGAAGCAATTGGCAAATTTCAAGTCAGATATAATGAAGATTTTTTTTAACTTGGCAAATAAAGGGAAAGAAGTTGACAAAGGAAAGCAAAAGAGATACAAGTCATACCAGTCACGGGATCTAAGGTAGCAATACAGTTCTTCACCGAAATACCTTCGGATGCAAGCACAGCAGCAGCACGTGCCTTTTGAGCTTCCTCAGCTGTATCAAAGCGTATATATCCTGAATCTGCTCCCTTCTCAAAATCCACAAACTAAACACAAGAAGTGAACCATTATAGAAAGACTATATCAAATCAACTTAACTGATTCGCGTATAAAAATATTTATATGGATATAGCTATATAAGAGATTCCAAAAAAATTAGGTTGAGAAAACAAGGGTCACTGCCAGTTTGAGTTATCAAAAAGTGAAACAAGAACAGTTATCAGATTGCTTAAAGAATAAGAGAATATATTATACTTTAATCATCTCATAAGCTGTCCCATTGAAAGAGTCATCTTTCTCAACATATTTTTGTCCCATATAAAGAGACATCATCTCAATGTTTTTAAATACTCGTATAAAAAAGTATGCCAAATATGTTAAATTTATTTAAACATATCATATTTGAATTTATATAACTATGATGGGGTTCTCTTGACATAAAACCCCAATGTCACAGCATAACATAGCTTCATTTAGGATACTTACAGTGCTCCATTGGTCCCAAATGTGGTTCCCCACCCCCCCCCCACCCCAAACCCCATGCCACTCTCCAGCCCCCCATCAACAATAGCAAATTGACATATGGAGAGGGGCAAGGGAGAGGCTGGGGTGGGGGGACTTGGGGAGAGGTTGGGGGTTAGGGAGGGTAAGACCCACTTTCAAGCCCAACAGAGCACTATTGGTGCCCAATGTCATCCTAGGACATTGAATCTCAATGTCAAGGGAACCATAAAGATATACCTACGTTTGATCATTTCCACTAGTTGCAACTCACAAAAATTATTGGGACTCTTTTTATGGAGCAAACCAAAATCACATAATGACTAAAACAAAGTAAATCAAACCAGCACCTTCACAGTACCAAACTTCTGAAACACGCTCTTTAAGTCTTCACGTTGGACAACCTCATTGTCCTCACATGTAGTTTGTGCCTCAGCAACATCAGATTGAACATCTATATCATGAACCGCTGGTGTGTTTTGATCTTCTCCAACAACCTTATCATGCTTTTCTTCATCTTTTGACTCTTTTTCTTCATTCATTTCCTTATCGTCATCTCCTTCAACATCATTCTTGAGATTTTCTTCATTCTTTGACCCCTTTTCTGCAGTCAGATCCTTGCCATCCTCTGATGTGGTTTGTGCCACAGCAGTAGCAGCCACATCAACATTGTCAGCAGCTGGTGTGTGATCACCATTTAGTGTTCCTGCAATACCCTTCTCGGAGATCTTCTTCAGCTTAAAAGCAACAATCAGGCCCTTGGGATAGCTGCAATATTCAACATAAGATTATGCGTGGACAGTAATAACAATGGGTGTTTTATGGGAACTCTACTTACTTTTCTTCAGGAATGGGTTGGTTTTTACAAGAAGAACCTTTGTTAAGATTATTATTCTCCACTTCTTTCTCCAGCTGAGCTCTTACTGCATCAAAGTCCTTCCTGGTCAAAGAAAATGCAAATGTGATTCATCACAGCACAACCATTAAAAAATAATACTCCCTCCATCTCATAAGTTTCTTCCTATTTTGACTTGACACAAGATTTAACGTAAGATGAATTGTTGTTTGAATTTTCTACTATGCCATAAAAATGTAAAACATGCAAAGTCTTAAGTGAAAAAAGAGTAAAATAAGTAGGTTAGATGGGTAAATAGGTAGTAGAAAAGTTATGAAAAATAAATAATTACAAATATGGAGTTAGATCTTGTTTTGAAGAGAGAATTAATGTGAACTACATAGGTGTAATTATACCTGGCAATCGGGTCAATTGGTTCGGTTCTGGTTCGGGTCTTTTTGGTTTGGGTCTCATTCGGATATATGTTATAATTGGTTTGGGTCGGTTTGGTTCGGGTCAATTCGGTTTCGGGTTTATGTCGGTTTGACTGGTTTTCGTTTTCAGTTCGAGTTTGTATCCGTTCGGGTTTGTATCGGATCGGGTTTATATCGGTTCGGGTTTGTATCGATTCAGGTTTGTATCGGTTCGAGTTTGTATCGATTTAAATATATATTAGTTCAGATATATTTTAAATATTTACTAATAAATCAATAATATCACATAATAAATTTAATCAATTTATGATATACTCCGTAGTTATTTTATTATTTAACACTGACCTACATAAAATTTAATCAATTTCAGGTCTAATCGGTTCAAGCTTTAACCAGGTTCAGGTTTAATGGGTTCGGGTTAAATCGGATTCGGATCTGAATCGGTCTGAATACATTCGGTTCGGTTTCGGTTCGGGTTGGATCATTTCGGGTGTTCGGTTCTTCAGTTTTCGAGTCAAATCGGGTTCGGTTCCGGGTTATCGGTTTCAGGTCAGTTTTGCCAGGTCTAGGTGTAATTTTATTTTGGGAGAGAAAAGAAAATTTTAAAGTTCATTTAGGGACGGGGAGTTTAATGGAAAGCTTTGATAAGCAGAAGTTACATTCATGATTCTTAATATTTGAGTAATAAACTTTGTTATGGAAATATAAGAAACTGTGTTTATAGACAAAAAGCAAACATATTTACAAAATATTTGAGGGATAAAAAACGCTGCAAAATAATCTATTACATGATATGCTCGGTTAAATTATAATTTATGTAACTAAAAGCCAATGTTAAATCTAAACTTTTTACATTCATACTTTGGTGGATTGTATCTACCAAAATTTATATATTTCTATCATAAGGTTTTTTTACTTTTTAATAGTACAAGTTGTAAAATTAGTTTTAAGGACTTTAGTTTTTTCTTGGCATTGATAAATTATACTCCCTCCGTCCCAAATTAAAAGTGCATTTCTACCGGACATAGAGTTTAAGAAAAGTGAAAAGTGTGAGATTGAAATTGATTTGAAGGAAATATGATGGACACATATTCCTTGCTAAAAAAGATATAATACTCCGTATATTTTTATTTTAGGAATAGATCAAAAAGAGAAGTGTTACTTATTTTGAATAGAGAGAGTTATCATTATTACGGAGTATTATTATTGGTAGGAAGAATATGCATAGATGATTTTCAATTCACAGACAATGGCTAGAGTTGTAAGAAACTGAAAATTGCTAGAAAGAGTTGAAAAAAAACTCGAAACAATTGAAAGAAAGTGGAAAGACAAAGGAGTTGAAAAAAACAAAAGGAATTGGAAAGAGTTGAAATTTAAAAATCCAACCCAAGAGAAAAGGGTCTAAGTGAACATAGCTCACCAGTGAAAGAACGTAGGAGTTGTGAATCATAAACATTGTACTGGTGTGTTGAATCCAAACAATAATGATGAACAGAACTTACTTTGTTTTTAATTCTAACTCCACTCCTGCATAAACCAAACTTTGCTTCAAAATGCTTTGAACACCTTCCTCGCTTGAAAATTCAACCAGGGCAGTGCCACAAAATAGCCTTTTGTCAGCAACATGGCGAGGTAGCCTTACGCTGTTAACCTGTGAATCAAAATAACTAAATAACGGCAACAACAAAACCTTATCCCACTAGGTGGGATCGGCTGAATAACAATCACAAATATTTTGCCACTCATCACCATAGTGTATTTTTCAATTGATCATTAGCCGGGTGCATGAAAGAGGTACATAATCAAATAATCCTATGCATATCATACGACACCATAATTCCATAATTAATGATTCTGTAAATGTCTTAAGTACCAAAACTGCTCGTTCAAATCTAAGATTGTCGATTAAGATACCTTTGCATATTGGCTAAAAAATGACTCTACATCCTCAAGCTTGATGTCATACTCCAATGGAGATGCAGCAATAGTCCTCCCATCTACTTGGTCAATAACCTCGGGCTTCGGCAATTCTGTAGCTCTACCAATTTTCTTTCCTAGAAAATACAAAAGGAAAGCCACAGATGCCAAAGAGAAATAGAATACAAACTACAACCCAGTAGGACTTTAGAATAATAATGAAAATGATTACCATCCTCAGAAAACTTGAGAAATGTAGAGCTCTTTAAAGCATCAGCCACAGCTTTCACAGTGTCATCGGTTATATCCTCCGGTTTTGCTTCTTGTAATCCCAGATGGGATCTCATCCTCGAAAATGAACATATCAAAGCCAAACTCACCACTATATTTCCAGTTAAGCTTGACAAACATTAATCCAAGGTTTAAACTGCACAAAACAATTTCCATTCATACTCAAAAACATGTAAGCCATTTAGGTTCATCTGTAAGAAATTGCAAAAGTATATCGATAAGCATTTCGACAGACAATTACACACTTAGGATACATCCATCTTCACTTTCATCAACTGTTTTCTTGAGAAAAGAATCCCTGGGGAGATTGCTGTCGCTGAAGTAAAACTCGACCTGGAAATAACATGTCTCAGATGAGAAAATGTCAACATCAAAAAAGGGAAAAGGAAAAGGGAAAACAGAGATCGCATGAAATTGTTAAAAATGTGAAAGACAAAACGTAGAGAGAGAGAGAGAAACAGTGACAGACCTGCCTAATAACTTTCTTCACGGTTTCCTCGTCCAAAGGTTTTGCCATGGTCGACGAAGAACAGGGGAGGCGGAGTCGACGAAGAACAGGGAGGTTTTAGGGTTCCCACAATCCTAAAGAATAAAATGATGGGTTTTACTCTTAACTTTAAAGAAAAGAGTTTGCAATTTAGGACCATTTGTTATGTAAAGTGAAATGTGGGGGTTAGAGACAATATGCTTGCAAAAGACACAAATATACTAAAAGATAATGACCTCCTCCCGAACAATATCATTTTATTTTTCAATGTAAGACTAATACTATTATTCCTCCTACTATACATTATTAAGTACTATTAAGAAATAAAAAAATTTAAATTCTAAAATTGAAAAATGAATTATTTTTAGTTCTATTTAATATAAATTTCACTAGGTGTAAATGTATATGGCTTGATTTATGACTCAAAGAGGGTGCAACATGCATATAAATTCATGTAAGAGAGCATTGTCTAGTAAAGGGTTATATAAAGGCCCCGTTTGGCATCAGCGTCAGAGATTAGCGTTAGCGTTTTGAAAAAGCTATCTGACGGTAGTCTTTAGCGTTAGCGTTTTCAGAATTAATCTACACCGTTAAAATTTTATCCAAAACGCTAACGTTAATCGAAAACGTTGTTACCAAACAAAGCGAAAATGATGATTCAACCAAACTTTAATAACGTTGGATTGTTAAAGTGTGTCGTGTTATGGAGAAGAATATATAGATTATTTCTTCTCTCCTAAAACTTTTTGGTTTACGAGGTTTAGCTAGATTTATTTTTAATTTAATTTTTTTTTATTATTTGCATAAATTTTAAAAATAAAATTTATACTCCTCCGTCCCTAAATATTTGTCACACTTTTATTACCGAGGTAAAATATCAAATTTTTTCAATTCATTTTATTTACATATTGGTATAGAAATGAAAAATAAAATTTATATATCAAAAAACTACATGAAAAGTTTTTCGAAATAAGAGGTGTCAAGAATATTTTATTTTATCAAATAACCAATGAAAACGTAGAAATAAACAAAAGTTATCGCGACTGCTGAAAAAGCAAATGTGGCAAATATTTAGGGACGAATGGAGTATATGTTATACAAAGTGCACAACTCTAGATGAAGGTAAATAGAGTGCCTCATGAGTCATGGCTAATCCAATCATTCGAAAGGCTTTCTCAAAGGTGATGCTAACTTTCAAACTCCAACGGATGCTTGAAAAACCTTTTAAAAAGCTTCAACACTTTACAACAATACTTGAGTCACAAAAGTCTTAGCAACCACAAACTTAGAGGTGAAGTTTCAAGTTTGCAAGATCACAATAGCAACAGCATGTATTTAAATAAGAAAGATCTAATGAATGACAAGGTTCTTGCACTAAAAAAAATATTTTCTATACTCTCAAAGTATTGATTCTTGAAGAAGTTTGATAAAGCAAGAGATCTAGCAAGGAAGGATGAAATAAGAGTGTTTGGGATTCCTTGAATGAAGGAAGAAGAGGGTTTATATAGGACACAAGAGAATATGTCTCTTACACCAAAGAAAAGAGCTTAGGTGTAGAAAATGGGATTAAAAATTCGATTTCTTTGGTAAGCAAATTGATTTTTGAGCTCCGAAAAAAAAAATAAAAAGATGTGAGAAATCAATTTTTATTGGGGAAGAGAATTGAGTTTTAGGCGTTGTGTTTAGACATTGTCAGGCAAAACTAGAAAATCGATTTTTACTTACGAAAATCGATTATGATGGAGCACACAACAAAGATAAGATCTCAAAGAACAATAACTTGATGACAAGGGGTTAAACAAAACCAAAACCCTTGTCTCCTATGTTAATGTGTTGGAGGGAATGAACCAATCACCTCAAATCATTTTCTAAATTCAAAATTTTGCATGTCAAACGATGTACAAGAAAAATATTTTAAAGGATATTTTTCTTTACAAAAAATGTTTTAAGAGAATTTTGACACACTTTTTGTAACTAACTCAATAAATATAATTTTGAACAGAGAAAATCTATTTTCAACTAACTCAAAAAATAATTTAGTTTTTATATAAACCTCAAAATAATATTTTTATGTATGGAAGTATTTTTGTCATCTTTACAATGTTTCCTAAGACTCTAAAAAAATTCTTTGATAATAATCTTCACTTCACTTTTAATTTGCATATGGATTTGATGTAGAGAAAAAAAACCTTTTCTTGAATCACTTCTTTGCTTTCTTGTTCCAAAAAAAGTAAATTTTTTAAATAGTCCTTTATACCAATAAGTTTTCATATTTAGTCGATATTTATCAATTATTATATTGACGGTTCTTATTAATTGAGTATCATTCCATGTTTGGTCCTCCGTCTATATTTCCGTCTCTGTGTCGTTAGTCAAAGACTAAACGTGAAATGATGCCCAATTGATAAGGATCGTAAACATAATACTCCCTCCGTCCCCCTGTATTTGTCCACTTTCAGTTTTGCACATCATCCAATGCACTTCTTTAATCCATTTTATCTTGTAATTTGTATATTAAAAAATTATAAAAATTATATATTAATAATCTATATGTTAAGACAAATCAAACAAGATCACACATGACTATATTTAGGCTTACACATTGAGAGAATTTGATGAGTTAAAGTGCTTAGATGAACAGTTCCAAAAGTCAAAAGTGGACGAATACAGGGGGACAGAGGGAGTATTTGACGATTAATATGGACTAAATATGGAAAATACTCATTTATAAAAGACTATCCAGGGAATCTACTTTTTTTAAATGACTTTTAATATAAAAAGTACTCTGTATTAAATATGAAAAATTTATGATTGTAGTTTATTTATAAAAAAAAGTCAAAATTTCTACACCATAAAAAATAATTTACCAAAACTTTATTAGTTTGAAATATATAGAAATTAAAAAGAAATTATAAATTATTATCCTGCTTTAACAACATAAGAGCTTCATATTTTTTATCTCCAAAATAGGAATATAATGCTAATAATACCAATATATAGTACCAAAAAATACAATTAGATACCACTATACAATGTCAGTATGTCAGAGTACAAACTCGTATTTTGAGGAAAAAAATATGAAAATCTTATTTTGATGATACATATAGAAATTCTAACTTTTTATGTATAAACTTCAATCATACATTTTTCATATTTATTGATTTCTATATTAAAAGTGGTTTAAAAGAGTAAATTCTATAAATAGTCTTTTATAATTGGATATTTTTCATATTTAATTCGTCCATATTTATCAATTATAATTTTCGTGCTCTTTATTGATTGATATCATTCACGTTTAGTCATTTTGATGGCATAGAGACAAAAAAATAGACGAAAGGACAGACGTGGAATGATACCCAATTAATAATGACAATCAAGATAATATTTGATAAATATGGACTAAATATAAAAAAACTAAATCAAGTTATAAAGGGCTGTATAGAGAATTTACTCCAAAAAAATGTGATTGTTGTTGTTGTTTGTTATTTATTAAAACCTAAAAAATAACAACACTGATAAAGTGCTAGAAGGAGTTTGAATTCATGTCCAACAATATATTCAAAAACCATATCAAAAGCTTTACAAAACAAGATATGACATGACAATATTTTTTTATCAAATGACTAATGACAATAAGTAAAGAAGTGATTAAAGTTTAATTATATGAATAGTGATTATGAAAAAAGTTTTAAAACAGAGAGTATTTGAATATGAATGTTATAGCGAATGAGTGGACACACTAGGATTGAAAAAAAAGTTATGAAACGATTTAAAAATGTACAAATGGCATAAATTGAAAACAAATTGGACTTTAATTACAAATTAGCAAGAGAGAGACTAGCATGAACTTAATATTTACAGAAATCGGATGCTTAAAATAGTTGTTTCACAATGTATTAACTAGAAATCGGACTCAGGTGTTACCCTTTGAGTACCTATTGCCTTGCTACACATACAAGAAAAGTTCGAGAGATGGACAATCAAGCTATGCAAAATAGAAAGGGTTGACCCGAATAGATGTAGGGAGCCAGGGAGGTCATTAAGATCAATGGTCTTATATTAATTCGAAAAAGAGTGTGTTTGTGAAAATAATGTGAAGGACTGAACACAAGTATACTAATGGTTCGTGTAGTCGATCATGACTCGTGAGTTACTTAAGATATAAGGCTCTTTGTTGTTATTGTGTTTGTCTATCACATTGTTTCTCTCTCACCCTTCACCCTACATATCTATATAGGAAATATGAATTGTTTGACATTAACCTAGACCTAATTAATGTAACACAAACTCGATCATTCCAAGTTCTCAAGATAGGTTTGTGCGAGAAAAAAGTCATTAAGAAACTTAAGAGATCAGAACTTCAAATAAAGCATATTCATTAAAGGCGCAATCTAGCTGCAGAGCGAGAAACACTGCCATTATGAATAAAACTCGGGATGAAATATTGATAACAACGATGAAACAATAGTCATGCAAAGCATCGAGTTCTTTCACGTACTAAAAGTGAACCCCTACTCTTTACTTGACATACTAGAATCATAGCTCGATTTATCTTTTCGTACAAGACTGTCCGGTCGATTTTGAGGACCCCGCTAGATTCATCCTTCATTTTTTATTTTTTCAAATAGAGCATTCTCATAGCCACCGGTTTCCTGTGGTTTATGCTACGCTCCATAGTGAGTCAGTATACGGACACTTACTCAATCGGGTACCCTTCCCCTACTCTTTTTACCCTTTTCTATTCTATAGCCTACCCTACGGTCAAGCACACTGTCCTAAAGTTAAAGTCCTCTCCCCCTCCCAATGACCTCTTTGTCGTTATATATCCAATCTCGGCTTCAGCAGACATGGCTCACGCCTTTCACGAGATGTGGAGAACCGAAGGAAGAGACCCGTTACGGCGTCGTTTCGCCCAACACGACAACTTAAATATACATCGCTTCTTTTGATGTACGTTTCTTTTTTCAAACATGCCCAAACTCGTTTCTTAGCTTTCACACTCTCTTGCTTGTCCATGGCCATGGAGAGGGTGGGCCTTTTTCGTTCCCCGGTGTCCGGCGATGCTCCGGTCAAGTTCTCGGAACATGTGGTTACTGTTAAGAAGTACGCGGAAGAAACGGGTCGGGGTCGTGGGTCGCCGGCGAAGATCCGCCCGAGAGTCGTCCGGATTGTCGTCGCCGACGGTGACGCCACGGATTCCTCCGATGACGATGTGGGTGGAGGAGGCTTCCGGAGGGTGAAGAGGTATGTGAATGAAATCAGCCTGGTGGATCCGGGTAAGGTGGCCGGAGAAGAGCTGTCTCGGGTTCGGGCTGGGAGAAAGAGAGGCTTGAGGAGAGGGGTGTCGCCGGGAAGTGACGTCAGCAGCCGGAAGAGGTACAGGGGCGTGCGTCAGCGGCCGTGGGGGCGTTGGGTCGCGGAGATACGTGACCCGAATCGGCGGAAACGGGTCTGGCTCGGGTCGTACAACTCGCCGGAGGAAGCCGCCGCCGCGTACGACAGGGCGGCTGTGTTGCTGAAGGGCGCTGCCGCCGTTACGAACTTTCCTATCCCCGTCCAGGTTTCCCCGGACAGCGACGCCACATCTAACGGCGTCAACGACGTTTCCTCGACGCCGTTTTCCATCCCAGCGAGTGGGGGGGACGTCAGCGTTAACGACGTTAGCAAAAAGGACGACGCCGTTTCCCCCAAATCCGTCCTCCGCTTCGAGGGCTTCCCGACGTTCGACAGTTTCCCCATCGGAGACTTCCATCCCGGCGAATTCGGGTTCGACTTTTCATTCGGGTCCCCGGGTTTCGGGTTACCGGAGAAGCGCATATCCGAGGAATTCGGCGAGTTTGACTTTGAAGATTTCACCCAGGACCCGTTATTCTGAGGAGAAGAAGAGGGCATATCCGTAATTGCAACGCGAATTCGCGGGAAAAATGTCCCCGACGCGATCAAATGGGCGGGAAGTACGCAGATGACGGCGCGTGTAAAGTTGAGTAGTAGTAATTGCGTACAGTAAGTAGCCGGATATGAGATTTTGCTAGAGATATTTTTATTAATTTAAATGCTTAAAAAAATGTGTAGTTTCTTTGTCTAAAATATTAAGAGGTAAAATGCATTATTTTCGTCACTTCATAATGGTTTTGTTTTGGTTTAAAATGTCTAGCTCTTTAAAAATTTGAATACTGATAAAACAAAAATAAAAAAATTAGTACATATTACAATTATTTTATGAACTTTTCAAAAAAAACATTTTTTTAAAAAAATAAAAGTGATATGATTAACCCAATTGAAGCTCACAACAATAAGATTTAAGGAATGTGAGTGGTTGCACACTTTATTTTTTTTCCAAAAGTAAAAATATGTCGTGCACACTAGAAGCTTTTTGAGGGATTTAAAGTTAAATTTATAAGTGATTGAGAAGATTGGTGGATAGGAAAAAGTAAAAAAAAATGTAAAAGTAACTAAAAAATAAGAGAGGATGCAAAAGTGAGGGAGAAAATAAGAAATATTGTGTAAAATTGATTTAAAAAATAGAAAAAGTGATTGAAAAAAATTCTATCAATTATTTAATACAGAGTATTAAAAAAATGGAAAGTTTTTATTTAAGAGAAGTAAAAGTGCATGTGAAAAAAAGAATATGAGGGGATGATTTTGAAAGAAAGGGGGGGGGGGTAAAGAAAATAATTGGATGTAAAAAAGTGCTTTACCAGCCACATAATATGTTTTTTGTTTTTTTTTAAATAACAGCAAATAGTGGAAAAGGGGGGGAATATGAATAAATAAAGAAACAAAAAGAAAGGTGGGGCATGCGGAAAGAGTGGCGCTTTCCAGAAGGGGATAACATATAGAGTAGAGCGGGGGGGCGTTGAAAAGTGAGAGGAGTGCTTTTTAATCTGAAATCTCAGTGTCTAATTTCCATTTTGGGGTTATAAATGAGTGAATGCGGTACATGCCACCCTTTTCTCTTTGCTTCCCCCCATTCTTTGTTTGTATTTCTATGGACACCACTTTTGTGTCTCGTGGTAGATGATGCCTAGCTCTTTTGCCACTCTCACTCTTTCTTCTCAAAGTAAAGATTAAAAAAATTTATTCCTTCTTATTTTTATTTATGAACTTTTTGAAAAAATAAAGTATTTTAAAAGATAAATGGATGTGATGGATATTGGGTCCGGTGCCCAGGGGCGGACCCACATTGGGTCATACGAGGTCAAGCGACCCCACGGAAATTATAAATTTTTTTAGTATATATACATACAATTTTCTTAGTGTATACTTAGATTTAGTATATATTTTAACAAACGCTTAAAGTTTGAACTTGTACCTGCTGAAGGAGTGGTATGCTCCGCGTGCTGCATTGGGGCATGTGTGGTCTTGAGTTTGAAACTTGCTTTAGAAATTTGAGTATGCTTTTTTTTTGGAGGTGACACCCCCAATTTAAAGAACAAATCTTCAAATCTTCCATTTATATTTTGCCGGACTTTTTTTCTTGCATAATTGAATCTAATTATCTAAATTGAATATTTCTTTTTTTATTTGTAAATTGTAAAAATTTTAATTTATTGTTATAAATTTGTTATTGTGAATAGCAGAATAGAGAATTGAATTCGTTTATTTTTTTTAAGATTGTGATTTGTGAATATGTTAATATAATTAGGTTATGTTTTAAGTTTATAATATTTTCAATTGTTTAAATTTCAATATAGGATGCAAAGGAATGAGTATATATATTATTTTTTGGAAGATGACACCCCCAATTTCTCGAACAAATCTTCATCTTCCATTTCTATTTTGCCAGATTTTTTCTCTTACATTATTGAATCTAATTATCTAAATTGGATATTTCTTTTTTTATTTGTAAATTATGAAAATTTTAATTTATTGTTATAAATTTGTTATTGTGAATAGCAGAATAGGGAATTGAATTCGTTTATTTTTTTAAGATTGTGATTTGTGAATATGTTAATATAATTAGGTTATGTTTTAAGTTTATAATGTTTTTAATTATTTAAATTTCCATATAGGATGCAAAGGTATTTTAAAAAAACACCAAGATTTAAAAAGAAAGAATTGAGTGAGAATCCAAAGATGTATTTCATATTTGTAATGTAGAACTATTTTTAGTTAGTATTTTCAATAACATATATAAACTTTAATGTTATGTATTAGAGAATACTGTTTATTTATTGTTAGAAGCGTGAAGATTGGATATAAATTTTCTAAATTTCAACCCCACGGTTTAAAAGTTCTTGGTCCGCCCCTGACGGTGCCAGTTACGGTCCAGGCGCAATGTGTTTATTGCTCCATTGTAGTTTTTTAGAGATTTTAATTTGGACAGAAGAAGAGATGATTAATTTAACTAGGGCCGTGGGTTTAGATGTGTGTGCCGGTGAATGAATCGATTCCACTGATCGCATGAGAGATTAATGATCGATTTCTCTCCCGCAATAGACGCCAGTCGCTTCAATCATGGGACCAGAGACGTGATTATGTTTCATAGAGAGAGATTATTCTAAGGGTTCTATATTTCTCCATTATCGTTCTTCGTGCATCCATAGTTGATAGGTAAAAATCGATCTATCAATATGATTATAATATGTCTAGATGAGGTTGAAATTCGATTTTGGTTATTGGCCTAATCCACTCCAAATCTTCTCTCTTTTCTTTGGCTCTTCGTTCTTCCAAACCGAAAGGGATTCAATTATTGTTTTTAAGTAATAAGTAAAAAAAAGTGAAATGTGTACTAAATAGTACTAAAATTTATGTCATTTTCCAATGTGGCACTTAAAATTTTTAATTCTCTAAATAGTATTTGAATAATGTCTAATTGCGGGAATAATATCCAGTGATGGTGGACATTTAGTATGAACAATGTCCACTGACGATGAACATTTACTTGAACAATGACCAGTGGTACTACATTGAGAAATAAAAACATATGGTACTACATTGAGAAGATCATTATGTTTTAATACAATTTGGGTAAATTCCCCCAAAAAATTACTTTCTCAATTTGAAAATGTTCTTTTCCTTCATTATTTACACGGTCAAATATTAATTTCTTTATTTAGTTTTTTAGTACTCTTTTTATAATACTCGTATGATATAATCATGTCACCTTTGGTATTGTAGATTATTTTATGTAATTTTCAATAAACATTTTTTTATTTTATACATGTAATTATTACACTATTGTTAACCAAAATTACACTATAGTAAACCAAAACAGAGAGAATATTTTGGCGTAGAAAAAGTATTTTGAAATACTTTTCCAAAACAAAAAAGTTGTGAGAATGAAGGTAGGAGCATGTCTTTGTACTAGACTTGTCATGGGACTTGAGACTTGGCATTTTTGTGGCCTCTTGTTTGGGCTCTCTTGCATGCTCGTGTTCTTGAAATGTATGCAAGACGACCCAAGGCCGTTTAAATATAAAGGCTGTTTGCTTTAAGAACATTTCACTAGCTCCATTATACTTTATCTGTTTTGCAAAAACTTTTAACAATAGAATAGATATGATTATCAAAAAAAATAACTTATATATTCCCTCTATCTCAAAATATTTTTGCATTATGCAAAATGAAGTAAAATTTTATTTTTTTTAAATTAAAATAAAATTACGTCGTTGAAGATTAAAATAAAACAAAGGTTGGCTCCTATGTAGCGGCAACAATACTCTACAGCAACGACACAAAGTGATGACTACAGCCCTTCTATGCGACGGTGAAGATTATCCCTCTTAGCCACTTCAACGCCCTGAAAATATCCTTATCAGAATTTTAATTAATTGATAATTAATTTATTACTGAGAAAGACCTAAAAATAATTGATTTATAAAGTTTGTCAATAAATAATGAAAATTATACCCTTGTGTATAGTTTGACTGTCTGACCACACCAATTCAATCAGGTTTTAACTCGGAGAAAAATGGACCAAAATATGTACCCCGACTAGGACTAAATTAGTCCCAATCAAGAAGAAGCGTATAATATCGGACTGAATCGTCTCCTTCTCCACTTAGCCGCACGAACATGAAACAGAGACATCACCCTATCCCTACGAGCGTGCGTAATTGCCGTTGTCCCTTATCCTTTACTTTCTCTCTGAAAATTATGAGTGTGCCTAACAGCCATCGTCTTTTATCTCTCTATAAAAAAATACATGCGTGATCGAAGAACTTATAAAAAGTTATATTTGTTTGTGTTTCTTCTAGAGTTTGAGAGCATGTAAAGTAATAGAGAAGTAGAGAATGGTCCGCAAAGGAGAAAAAAAAGAAACTCTTCGTCGTCGCTTCAATCACCAACGCTCTCCGCTAGAAAAAAACTCAGTGCACGCAGTTAGTCATAAGCTTGTTCGTCGAATTCATCACACATATTAAACAAATAGTGAATGAAGAAAAGACTAAGGCCCCGTTTGGTACACGGAATTCAAACTATGGAATTGAAATTGAAGACATCAATTCCAATTCTGGTGTTTGGTAGCACAAAAATTATGAGAATTTGTAATTGATAATGCAAAAAATGAATTAAAATTGGCAGATTTCAATTCTATGAAATTGAATCGCATGGAATTTCAATTCTAATTTAATTCCAATTCTGTATACCAAACGGACCCTAATGGTCCGTTTGGTATAAGGAATTGGTGGAATTGGAATTGAAATTCCATGGGATTCAATTCCATAGAATTAAATTCTGTCAATTTCAATTCAATTTTTGCATAGAATTGATTTCAATTCATTCTGTCAATTCAATTTCAATTCACTTTTTGAAATTTCATGGGATTCAATTCTATAGAATTGATTCCAATTGAATTTCATATACCAAACGGGACCTAAGGGTCTATTTGGTGTACGGAATTGAAATTGGTTTAGGAGTTGAAATTATATAGAATTGATTTGAATGGAATTGAATTTTCCAATACCAATTCATTTTTGGAATTCCAATTTTCTAATTCAACATATTTTTTGCTACCAAATATCAGAATTGGAGTTGTTATCTTTAGCTCTAATTTCGTAGTTTAAATTCATTGTT